AATACACTAAAGAAAACTTTCTGTTTGTTTGTTTGTTTTAAATTACCCCTACCTTTCTTTCCTCCAGAAAATGTGTTCTGTTTTACTGATGCATAGATGCTATACATAGGTCCTTGAGTATCGTCTATAATTTAACCTGTAGGACAGGAGTGTGGTTATGAAAAGCAGAATTTCAAGGTCAGTCAATGAGAACCACCCATGGGCTATCACTCACACAATGAAATTTTTGCTATGAGAATTCCAGATCTCAAGATGTTCCTTCTGGAGCCCAATATAAGCCAGTCAAATAAAGATGAATGAGGAAATATTAAACATCTGTCCATTTTATGTTTGACAGCATTATTTTATTTAAAGCACCTACAAAGTGATATCACTGATACTTTGTCTACTGTTTTAAGCTTTCCAAAGTGTCTTAAGACTATTAAGTTGGTTTTCATTAGTAAGTTCAAATCACAGGGTCATAGGTTGTCATGGCATTTTTAAGATTGTTACATGGAGAAGTACAGAGAACAGTACACATGCAGAGAACATCAAAGTTTGCATGGGTAAGTCTGTCTGTGTGATAGTCATCCATACATCTCTGTAGCATTTGGTAAACTCCCCTCTAGAGAAAAGAGAGTATATCCTCAGAGCCACATAGACTATCATGCAAAATAAGAGGTGCCAATGGGAGTGTGTCAGATGGGTGAATGGATGCATTCACAGAGAAGCCTAGTTCTGAGCTGTGACGTCTTCAACTGACAAGTTTAGACGTTCTCTGCCAATACAAATCTCACTTCCAAAAATTATAGTCCCTGTGTATTTTCTGTTTTCCTGGGTTCTTTGAAACTGCTTCTTTGAAGATATAAATATTCTATTTTGATAAAGTTTTTATATTCTTGTGCAAGTTAAAATAGAAAAATGAGCTCAGGAAGTGAGACCCGGAAGGTACCATAGTTATTATTTAATCTAAATATTCACCTCACAGTTGAGGAAGCAGGGAGAATATGTCCTGAACTTGGAGGGACACCACGTCCACCAACTGCTCAAAGATTAATTACATTAATTATGGCATTTGCATGGCTCTGATACTCAACACATATGAACTGAGCTCCTAATACATGCCGACCATGGTACTGGACCCTGTGGCTCCAGCAGTGGACAAAGAATATTAAGTTCCTGAGCAAATGGAATTTATGTTGAACAAGAATGATGCATATTGGGGGATGGAGGGGAAGAAAGAGAGAAAGAAACTAGGGGCAGCCTCATTTGAGATAGTCTAAATCTGAAAATCATGTTCCTGTCAATAACCAGAGAAAATTCCCTTCCCCCATAGGATGAAAATATTTCTACTTTCTACCTATATAACTCACTTTTCATTTCAAATTATAACAAAAAACAGTCTTGGGTTTCCTTTTTAGAAACTGTCATCCCACAAATCATCTAACTTCTGTGCATGTGACTTCTCATCTGTAAACTGAGGACTAGACCACAGGATTACTTAGGTAGGTTTCCCTCTTCCTTTGAGACTCTTCATTAAGCAGAGCCTCACAAATGTTTTGAATTCTTTTTCCACTCTTCCCATCCCCTTACCATCCCACGAAGGGCTCTGAGGATGATGCCTCAGTTCCTATATCTGAAAAGACCTCCTGGTTCTTGTGGTATAGCTTGGGATGTAGTGATAATGGTAGAGAGTCCACATGTTTCCTGAAGCACAGCAATCTTCTGGCTTTTTCTTTCCTTTTAGATCCATAGAACCAAAAACTGACAAGACCATCAATCATTGTGCAGGAATAAATACTGCTAAACTTGTCAGCTTTTTGATCCTTCCCAGATCATTTTTTTTTAGCTCAGTTCTTGGAAAAGGAAACCTTGCCAAGGCTTTAATTTTTCTTTGTGGTGTCATATTTGCCATGCCAAGGATAGAATATTGAGGTCATATGATTTTAAGACTCAGAAAATCACATGGTAATAAAAGAGGAACCAAACTATATATGAGTAGTGATATAAAAACGAGAAATAAAATTCATTTTCGAAAGAAACTTAAGAGGCAAACTATCTCATGCCGAGTTTACTTTGTCAGTTTCTTTAACTGGTCTGCTGGAGACACTAAATAAACATTTTCCATAGTGCCAAGCTTTGCACTCATTTTGGGTGGAATTTTTGTTAAATGCCACAAAATATGCACAACCCTTCACTTATAGAAAACAGCCAGTGTAGGCCACAGTGAAATTGATCCATGGTTAGCCAGTTCACTCTGGACTAGAACCTGGCTGAGAGGCAACTCCAGTATTGCCCCAAGTGAGTTTATGTACCAACAACAGAGACAAATTGACTGCATATCAGGAATATGTGGTAGGTCATGTAGCTGGCTACTGATGATAGCCCCATTCTACAGGTGGAAAGGCATCTCCCATGCAGTGCTCCGGTATCTTCTTCCTTATATCTAGGTCCTCCCGTTGTTATAAGATTAAATACAAGTTCATCTTCCTCTACAAAATCTTTGCAGACCACTGCAATCCATGAAGATTACCATTTTGTGTGAACTAAAAGCACAACTATTTGACTCATTTATCAATTAAGCATGTTCCCCATCTTGTAAAATTATGTTGTAGTTTCTTCTTTAAGTTTTAAGTATACATGTGCCTTATCAGAAACTAGATGATAAATTACATTGAAGAAGTTTTCATCTTTGGGCCTGATACCGTATATTGAATATATTTAGATAGATTTGCTCAAGACGAAGCTTGTCCTAACAGTGTCACAGAAAATATTACAAAAAAACATAGCTAACTTTAAGCAAAATTTTACAGTATGCTGCTAAATCTTCTTGACTCTATTATTTTCATTTCTCCAGGAGCTGCAGTATCCCCCAACTTTATCTTGCATTTAGGCAGCCAGTAGCTCTAACTTGTTCCCCCTGATCAAGACTTGTGCTCAGGGAAGAATTTAGCATTGGTCACTTATATCTCAGTTAGAATACATTTAACCTTTCCCAAGAGAATTAACCGTTTCACCCAGTAATACTGGTGAAATGATAGACTTTTTCATCCTTCAGAGGAGTTTCACATGAGCAAGTTTGGGAGAGAAAGAGAGAAGAACGCAGAGAGATGGTGGCATTGATATTCCCAAATAGGGGGAAATTATACTACTCTGGCAGCAATCTCCTCTAGCAACCCATTTGGCTCAGACTATGAACAGCAACATCTTCAACTGTAAAGTCCTGGTAAGATATTCAGGACCATCAAAACTCAGAACTAACCCCTGCTTTATAGACCGTCACTGAAAACATTTTCCCATGAAGAATTTCATGTCAATACTTGAGATGCCCGTATCCTTTTATTAAGGAAGGCTGGCTGTTGATGGAAGCTAAGCATTTCTTCCAGAGCCATGATTATACTTTGTATAGATACTAAACAAAAGCAACAACAAAAAAGAGAGAACATTTACCATCAGCCAACATTCACCGTGAGAGTCCTATTCAGTGAAGAAAGCATATTATAGAGGAGTAGAGCTTTAGCATCGAAGTAGGTACTGGCAGCTCTCAAAACACTTTAACTCAAAAACAGTTTGTTAATTAAAGAAACATCCATCAATAATAAATTTAGCAGGATTTTGCAGCAGTAAGGTTCAAATTTTAGAAAATTCTAATGTAAAAAATTTGCCGATCTTCCAAATGATGTAACGATACTGATTTGCTAAGTACCTAATTATCATCTTTATCATTATTTATCCAAAGACATGAAACCTTTTAGTTTTGATGACTAACTAAAGTGACACCATCAAAAAATAAAGTTTTGTTTGAATTGATGAACATGTGCACTATTTTCTTACAGGTAGGAAATGATTAGAATTATCTAGCAATTTTCAGATATGTCTATGGGGTAACCTGTTGTTGGAAGTTAATTTTAATCACCCCATAACTGAAGAGTATGTTTTCTGGACCTGTAAAGGTGGGAAAATATCCTTTTGTCTCATATAATAGGAGAGATACTTTTCTAGGAATATCTTTATAGGCCTTCCTTTACATGGGCTATAACAAACCCCTTTCTGCAACTCATGAATCAGAGTTTTACCAAATGCCAAATTGTTTTGCTGACCTCAGGAGTGGAAATGTCAGTAAGTGTGTGGTAGGTGGTAGTGTAATTCAAAGGTATTACCAGCACGGGTGTTCTTGGCATTTACTCATGGCATCACCCATAGCCATTGTAACAGAAGAAATTAAGACTGAGGTAAAGGAGGTTAGGGCAATAAAAAAAAATGGCAAATGACATTCCTTCAGGTAGGTGAGATACTAGCAGAATTACCACAGCTATTCTTCTTCCTAGATTTTCTCCTTTTTCAAAGTCTGGAAAACATTCAGCAGATTTGCCAAATACAACAGATTTGCCTTTGGAGAACAGAGGCTTTGGTATTTCAAAACAGAAGATTGTTAGATGCTGCTTTTGAAATGATTTCAAATCAATGTTTTTAAAGGTTGTCATCTCAGTTGTTAAATTTTTTAAATTAAAAAGGAATATTTTGCATGCACATAATAGAAAGCTCATTATGCATGATTAGATGCAAAATGTTCCCCTAGGCTTTTCTCTTCCACTACCCATATATAATTTCAATCTCTTCCTAGCCTACCTGCATCATTTTGGGCAGGCTTTTCTGTTTCCTGTGACCTTCTTCTCTTCCTAGCACCATACTCCTGGTCCCAAAGGGCACTGGCTTTAAAACAAGGGCTGTGGCTCTTTAAGTTGTACTATCACTGGGGCAGTGGCTACTGTGGGTGTCATATAATCATATAGCCTTTTGTTCCATATTAGCTGACATGATGTAAAAAGCTTTGCACTGAGTGAGATAGTAGTAGGTGTGCTTTTCCTCCTGAAGCTGCTCTGTGCAAGCTCATTCAGAATTGGCAGAATGGAAGTAATCAACTATTTTAAGTTTGCAATGTAAATTTATGTTGTGTTTTGAAGGAAGGCAAAGGGGAACCAATTTTTCCCATAACCTACTGTTTTTCCTCTTCTATGCAGGCCTGCCGAGTCCATCACTATGACCGATGGGGACTATGACTATCTGATCAAACTCCTGGCCCTTGGAGATTCGGGGGTGGGGAAGACGACATTTCTTTATCGATACACAGACAATAAATTCAATCCCAAGTTTATCACCACTGTAGGGATAGACTTCCGGGAAAAACGTGTGGTGAGTCTTGACCCATACTGTTATGTTAACCTTGTTGTTGATCCTTCTCAGATTAAATAGAATTAAGGAGCTATGGTTACTGCATTGCAAAGAGTCTGTCTTTTTTTGCAGGAAATTCATAACCTGTCACTTTAATTCAATTTAGAATATTTTTAATTTTGTCAACCATAAATCACATTTTTGCTAAGAAAAATGTTGAGTGACACTATCACTTGTCTCCAAAAGTATATAGGACAAATAAATATTTTATGGGTCTATATGAATTCTATGAATTCTCTAGGAATCTTTCAAAACCCGAACTATCCAGGTTGCCAAAGCATTCACTCTTGATCTGAGTTAAGTTTCTCAATAAGAACCAGTGGTGTTCATTTATCCACTCTTAAGAGAGAAGTTAATAAAAGGATGATTGGCAAATAGCTGGAATATGAGCTTTGTAAGTTCTTGCTGCATTTGTATTTATGTGTAGACTCAGCTATCAATCACTAGCTTATTATGAACAGAATGTGAGACCAGTCCATGCTATTTTACAAGATAAGGGAGTTTAAGTGAGAATTACAACTGCTTTCTGCTCCTATGCTAGACACTAATGACAGGAATAAAGATATTGTGACATGTGAGACATGTAGCATAGACACATAAGCTTAGCCAGATTTACTGCCACCCAAGGTATTTGTGATTGCCAACATGGCTGTGGCTTCCAATTGATGTCACAAGTCTACTCTTTTCTTTGAGAACTGGGGTGGGGGGAAGGAAATAGTGGTTGAGAAGTTAAATTCATGGTTCCTTATAAATCTTGTGCCTGATCTGAAAGTCAATACATTTTAGTGTAGTCTTGGCTTCTAACCTTGCTTCTAACCCCTCCCTTCCTGTGGCTTCACCGCTCCCAAATGCCTCCACTGATCTAGGTAGAAGTCCTTACAAAGTTTTCCCTTTAAACATTTTTACTAACACATACTTAGGAGAGCTGATTAGGTGTTAAAGTTGTTATGCTTTGCTGAAATAAGAAGTCAAAAGGCCATAATTTTGAAAATTTAAACATTAATAAAAAGGGCCTTTGGAAAAATGGCTACTAAAGGAAGACTTGAAATATCTTGTGTAAACTTACTAAGAAATTCTGTGCCTATTTTGTGGGTAGGTCATTTTGAAAGTCCACATCACAGTAAAAGATATTCAGGTATTTGTAAAGCATTTCACTGTTTTAGAAGTGCATTCACATGTGCTATTTAGGTTTGCAGGAACTCTGTAAAGTAGGAAGAGATTGTGGGTCTCAATTTGCTGTAAGACAATAAGATTCAAAGAAGTGAAATGAAGAGTTGATACTTGAACCTAGAACTTGGGTCCTCAATCTAATGTTTGCTGCCTCCATGAGGAAGTGACAGAAGGTGTCTAATTTAAGTTTGCAGTATGCCTAAATTGTGTTGAAAATCATACTTGTACTTGACATTTAAAAGTGAGAGTCTATGTGATACTTCTGGAAAAAAAACAGAGCAAATATTTATTCTGCACTCTGAACTTTGATTATAGTAATTGAGAAAAAACATACTGCGTGAACCCAGAGAATTTGAATGTTGACAAAATCCAAAGTAATATCAACTGATGAAAATTGTATCTTTTAGGTTTATAATGCACAGGGACCCAATGGATCATCAGGGAAAGCATTTAAGGTGCATCTTCAGCTGTGGGACACTGCAGGACAAGAACGGTAATAGTAAATTACTTTGTTTCTAGCTACAAACAGCTTAGAAAACTTACTTTAAAGTGAATGCCATACGTGATCTTGAAAGTCAGATGATCTACAACTCTTCTCCTGGTTTCAAAATAGACATTTATATCACGAAATGAGAATAAATTGTTTATAGTTACTTGGCCATAGCTAGCATTGTGTATTTGGTATGATTTCAAAAATCAGATCTTCAAAAATCTCTGAAGATCCCTGTGTTGTCTTTGTACTTTCTAATAGGAAAAAAAAATCTTCTTTAGCATTTAATTAAATTAAGGTGGGCAATTGACATTATTATAAGTGCAACCTAAAGAGGGAATTAAGGAAAGGGGGGTAAGACCTTTCTCATTTCTTTCCATTCTTCTGCACAGCTCCTCTGTCCTGTACCACTTGACTGGCTTAGTTTTCTAAAATTTGGGTCACACCATTGCTCTCTAGCTAGAATATTTTCCTCCCTTCCCACCTTCCCTGATCCTCTCTTTTCACCAGGCCTGTCTCATGTACCACCTCCTTTGTGGGAGCCTTTCTAAACACTCACTTGAAACAAATCCCCTCTTGTTATGAACTCCTATGACACTGATCCTTTTGTCCATTAATTAATTATACACCACCTTGTAGTAAGGTAAATCTTTTATTGATTCACCCGTGGCCTTCTTACCCCAACAAAATTGTCAGCATTACCGGGGCAGAGACCATGCTTGGTTTTCTAGCATCTTCTCTGGTACAATGTCCAAGACAAGAGAAGCTCAGTAGACAGGAGTGTTGTTTAGTTAGAGCTGAAGGTACTGTTCCGTTATTTGATGAAAATATATTTCTTTGGGACCCAAGGTTTCCACGTGGTAAAGACCACAAGCTAATGAAGCTTTTCAATATCAGATTAAATAAAAAATGGCTGGGGATTGTCAGAGAAGATATTTAGAAGGCACATACCTCCAAATCCGGCATCACATGTCTTAGAATGTTTATGCTTGTAAACACTTTCGTTTTTGAAATGCATCCAAAGTGTTCTCGCTTTCCGTGGGTGTAAACGCCAGGAGAGGTGCTGGGCCCTCTCTGTTAGCTCTTTTGACTGTGAATTCCATTTACACACATTCTTCAACACTGCTAGTTCTTCTGAAGTCGTTCCTCACAAGAATCTCTGTTCATATGTCAGTTTTGTTGTCACAAAGATGTATGTTTTATAGACCAATTTAATTCATTTTTGAAGAAGTAATATGAGAAAATGTGGTTCCCATATGTCCTCACACATGATATGTCAGCCTCGCATGATGGTAGGCTTCTCTCCTCTGCCCCCTTAAGACAGCTGCTCTATGAGGGAAGGGAGGAATACCAGGATAGTCTTAGTAGCACTGGGGTTTTTCATCCCTTGAATGTTGCATTCTGTATATATATAAGGTGTAGCTACACAACAAGATAAACAGTGTCTCACACCTCAACCCTGTGCCTAAAAACATCTGGCAGTATAATACATATAAGATAATGCTTATTGATAAAAGTGGTATCCTGGGAACAAGGGAAAATATCATACCCCTTATGTAAACCTCAAGGATACAGGACACAGCCTTAGTTCCCAGTGAGGGAGAGAGTAATAATGTGACTCTGGGATCAGTTTCTTTTGTTTGTTTTTTTATGTGGGTCTAGCTTTCCCCACCCTACTGACTCACTGGACAAAATGAGATTGGTGAGTAAAACTGGAAGTCAATTACCTTTCCCCTGGAGTAACCCTGGGAAGAATGGGGGGGGGGGGCGGGAATAACAAGGGTGCTGGGCAGAATGGTCCAGGATATGAGCCTGTGGCAGAATAACAGTGTCCTGTCCATGTTGCTGTGGATGCAGAAATGTTTGTCCCAATGAAATCTGTACAGCAAACATGTTTTAAAATTAACTTTGTCATGTGCTATGGACAATGAGAGGGGGATATGGCACAGTCTTGTCCTTAAATGAGACACACATACACAACTCTTTCTCTCTCTCTTTCTCTCTCTCAAAGAGAACAGAAAGCAGTTGTCTTAACCACACTATTGTGGCTGAGTAGGAGATAATTTTATGAATACAGCTAGTCACCAAAGAGAAAGAAAACTTTTGTAAAAGCTCTATAATCTCTGAGCTTCCAGCAACTGGTAGGAGCAATTCCACAAGAAAAAAAATTGAGTAAAATTTTTGGTATTTCATAGTTATCATGATTAATGCCTTACTAAAGAAATCAAATTTGGGAATAAAGTCATTAAAATACCTATTCTCCTTGCTTTGGTATTAAAAGGATTGTTGTCTATTGAAGTCACTGAAATTGTTAATAATTTTATATCCTTTACTATTCTCTTTATTTACTTACTTTTCTCTTAATTTGACAAACATTTCATGAGCAAATACTATGTTCAAGACCATGAAAATGTAATGGATAACAAGTTAGAAATACAACTTCTTTCCTGTTGGGGCTTACAAGGCTAGGGTAGCATTTGAATAGATAAGGAGCAATTGCAATATAGCCTTAGGGCAGTGTCAGGAAAACAAAGGGTGATAAGCAGGTGCACCAGGAGAAACCCATTAGCCAGATGTGGGTGTTAGGAAGGCTGCTTGGAAAAGTGATACGTCTTCTGATATCTATATGGATATATAGATATACAGATATAGATATATAGATATATATACATACACACACATATACATATACATACACACACACACACACACACATACACACACTCATACATAATGTATGAGTGAGGGAGTCTTAACAGGTTAAAGAGGCGGGAGATCGAGGAAGCATTAAGGCAAGTTTACCCACAGGAAGAACAGCGTGTGTGGGAGCCCAGGGGAGAGAGTGAACTTTCTAAGGACTAAAAGAAGATTGGTATGCCTGTGGGTAGTCAGGAGATGAAGCAGGGTAGATGAGCAAGGATCAGTTCATGCAGAGCCTGACAGCTTATGAAAGAGTTCAGTCATTATCTTAAGAGCATTGCATCATTGTTTAGATGTTTTCAGCAGAGGATTTATATAACCAGGGGGAAGGAATCAGTGAAGGGGAGGGTCCCAAACAAAACTGGAGACAGGAAGCCTGTTAAGAAGGCTGTTGAAGTTATTCAGGGGAAAGATAATAGGTTCAAAACTAGGGCAGGTGGACAGAAATGAGAAGGTCAGGAGATGCTTAGTGATTGTATACAGTGGGTGAAGGAGAAAGAACAGCTGTGGCATCACCGAGGATCATGATGCATTGACAGAAGAAGAAATCAGGAGGAGGGGCCAGTTTGGGTTTAGACATGGGAAGTTAGAGTTGCCTCAGTTTCCTCCAACTGGAAACATACAACAGGTAATTGGGCATGCAGCATGAAGGGCAGGACAAATCTAGACCTATTCATTTGGGGTCCAACACATAGGTGGTAATTGAGCCAGGGAAATGGATGAGATTACTCAGTGAGTGTATGTAGAGTGGGAAAGGGTTGAGAGTGGAACTCCAGGGAAACCAAAGAATCTAAAAATAGGCTAACATAGGAGTCCAAAAATTAGGAGGACATTTAGGATAGGAAGTGGTATTCTGTATTTCAAAGTTATGTGCCTTTCTAAAACCCTATTTCCAAATTCAATTCTGTATCAATATAGCCCAAACCTTCTCTGCTCCGTCTGTGTGGTCTCTGGTTTTGCCCATTTTTAACATTGAAGTGTATCTCAGCACACCTTCAATTTCACTGAAGGCTTTGGGGTGGAGGAGGTAGGAGCCGAGGAAAAAAGTCTTTATACTGTACGTGACAGAGTATATTCTTCAAAATCCTCTACTAGAGATGAGTGTTCTTGCTTTCTGTCTCCACCTACTATGTCCCTCTGGACCTTGCCTTTCTTCCCCTAATCGTCTTTCTCTTTCTCCTTTCTTCAGTGGTTTTTCCCTCTTCTTCCTGAGACATGGATGTCAGACTCAAAATCAGCTCTACCCCCAGAATGCTTCTAAAAGAGTTTTCTCACCAACATTGTTTTTTCCCTGCAAAAGAACCTCATCTCCGGCTGCTAACAAGTTGTGGTTTTCTGCATGTAATCATGGGCATTCATTTTTAGGTTACCGAGTGCCAAACTTTCTTCTAGGCGCAGACAAGGGAGATTGAAAAGTTTAAGTTAAAGTCCCCATTTGAGAGTGGCTTCTATTTTACCTGTGGACCATAAGATATCCATGAGCCAACAAGGGGCCCAACAAGTCCAAGGGGCTGTGTAAGTCAGTGTGTGATTGAATGTTACAAACTCAGTGTATATAAGTGTTCTAGACCATAAAGCCAGGATGTGGTCCTAAAAAAATGTCTACAACCAGATGTCTTCCCCTGACCCTTTAGCATTCTTTCTACCCACTTTCTCCTTCTGTAGGAGAATCCATAAGGGATGCCATGGAGATTTCACATTTCAAAGGAAAATAGTGTTGTGTGTATTGTCATCGTAATATGTTTGTGGGCTAACTTCCAGAACTATCCACTGTGTTTTCTTGGCAGATTCCGGAGCCTCACAACTGCATTTTTCAGAGATGCCATGGGTTTCTTATTAATGTTTGACCTCACTAGTCAACAGAGCTTCTTGAATGTCAGAAACTGGATGAGTAAGTGGTATCAACTAACTTGCATTGGCCACTTTGGGCCCCAGCTTCTTTGCTTCACGACAAGAAACCAGATTGGGTTCCACAAATTAACTTTGAGAATTCATGAGTTTAGTATTTCCTGTCTCACCTTCAAAGTGATGGCCTTAATGTGGCTCACCTAAGGTGACTTGGAATTGTATCTTAGAAGAAGCCTATGTAGCTCTATCACCACCTATATTCAAGGTCATTATAATTGCAATTGAAAGGCTATTAATTCCACTTATCCAATGAGTCTTAAAAGACTTCTTACAACTATGTAAGCTACCACATCTAATCTGGAAAGGAGACAGGGAAAAGCAGCCGTGTTTTCTGAGAGGGTTCACTGACACCTAAAAATGTGTGCCCTTGTGCATGGGTTAACTAATGGATTAATTAACCAATGGATGAATTTGGTGAGAAACTGCTCCAGAGCAGACCAGCCATGTGAAGATAAGATACAGTGTGTCAATCATCTCACATGGGAATTTTACATTTTTGGAAAAAATGTTCAAATGTAAGGAAGCTTTGAATAGAAAAATAGAAAGTTAGGTATAACATTAAGTTAAAAGTAGCCTAATCAGTTATTAAAGACAGATTGATATATGTCAGCCCAGGAAAATAGCATTTGATTTCCTTTTTTAAAAATTGATATAGCACTAAAGAGAATATTTCATTTGCATTTTTATTACAAACATGAATTTTGATCCTAATGTATATATATTATACATTATACACATATATATACATAGATATATATGTGTGTGTGTGTATATATATATATATATATATTATACATATATATATATAGATATATATATATTATACATATATATATATAGATATATATATTATACATATATATACATAGATATATATATGTTGTCCTATGGGACTGGTGATAGTCTTATCATTTCTAGATTTGTCGGGGCCGTCTATGGCCAGAGTGATATTTTTTTAAAAATTGGATCATGTTATTTCCCTGCTCAAAGTTTTTCTGGGACCTCCCAAATCACTTAGAATAAAATCCAGACTCCTTCACTCACCTGCAAGACCATGGATATCAGGCCTTGGATTCCTGTGTAATTTACTCTCATTCTCCCCCAGCTCATTGGCCTCCAGCCAAAAGTCTCTCTTGCTGACAGGGACAAAAGGCACATTCCTACCTGTGGCTTTTGAACTTTCTGATTTTTTTCTGCCTCGATTTCTCATCTCCTGTTTATGGAGTGTGCTAGCTCTCTCATCACCTTCAAGGTTTTGTTCAAACCTAATTTATCTCTTGGAGGAAGCCTTCCCTGACCACCGTCTACACTAGTATTCCTCCTTACTTTGTATCTCCCCAATGTACATTTTATTTCCTTTTGTCACTTCCACCACCTGACATTATATTATATATTTCTTTACTTGTCATTTTGACTCTCTTCCACTAGAATGGGAGCTCTATAAAAGTGCTTCGTCTGCTCTGTTCCATTGCAGTAGTCCAAAACCTGGAATAGTGTTTGGCACAGAATAGATGCTCTAAAAATATCTATTTATTCTTATTATATATGATTTATAATTAATATATGTAACTGCTTTAAATGCAAATTCAATAATGCACTTGCTACCATGGGGGAAAATACCAACAAATTCTGACTTCGTTAATTGCTTTTCCAGTTGAGTGTTTATCTTAGAATCTGTCTCTGTTTCTGTTTATTATTGTATTTCTTTATCCAAATTTTGGTGGTATTATTAGATTCTGAGGAGATAAACAATAAGATTATTAGATTTTTTTCAGAGAATGACTTATTCATCCCTTTTCAAGGCAGATAAAATTCTTCCTTATTTAAAAAAAAAATTCCTGAAGGGTACTATTGGGATTCAAGATAATTAATTGGCATATCTCGTAACACTTTAATTTTTAACACCCAAATAATTAGTGTTACAGGGTAAGCCTTGTCTTCTTCCTTGGCAAAGTTTCATACAGCATCTCTTGAGATAGAAATTAAAGTAATCCCTGTAATTTTTTTTTTTTTTTAAATTTTTTTTTTTTCAATGTTTATTTATTTTTGGGACAGAGAGAGACAGAGCATGAATGGGGGAGGGGCAGAGAGAGAGGGAGACACAGAATCGGAAACAGGCTCCAGGCTCCGAGCCATCAGCCCAGAGCCCGACGCGGGGCTCAAACTCACAGACCGTGAGATCGTGACCTGGGTGAAGTCGGACGCTTAACCGACTGCGCCACCCAGGCGCCCCAATCCCTGTAATTTTAAAAACATAGGTTGATAGATTTCTTATTTCCTTCCTTCTTTCTTCCTTGTTCCCTCCCTTCCTCCCCCAACCCTCCAGTCCATCCTTTTTTCCTTCCCTCCTTCTCTCTTCTCTCTTTTGAACAGAGAAAAGAGAAAAGAGAAAAACCTGTCTTAAAATTATTTCTCCATGAACTTGAACTTGTGGTGGTTCAGAAACATTCTATTCTTACAGATCATCACCTTGGACTTCAGGAGATAGAAATGTAGCAGTCTCTTAAAGGAAAGAGTAAACTTACACATTTAAAAATCCTGTTTACCTGAGTGGTTCAGTCAACTGAGTGTCCAACTCTTCATCTGGGCTCAGGCCATAATCTCACTGTGAGCACGAGCCCCATGTCAGGTTCTGCACTGTCAGCATGGAGCCTGCTTGGGATTATCTCTCTCCCTCTCTTTCTGTCCCTCCCCACCACCCCCCTCAAAATAAATAAATAAACTTAAAAAAATCCTGTTCTGTTATCTCTACTTTTACTTGAGGAACAAATAGTATGAAGTGGTATGTCCATTTCCCCAGATGTAGAAGAGCACTGATACGTGATCATATAGTTGCTTCATATAAATTATTATTAATGATCACAATCTGCGATTTGTGAGATGTTATCTTCATTCATTTTACCAACGAGGAAGCTGCAGTTGAGAAGCGTTGAGTAACTTGGCTAATATAACCAGTAGGCAGCCAAGCTGGAGGTGAACAATTAGTTTAGGAATTTGAAGTATGAAAAAAAAAAGGAATTTGAAGTATGAGCAGTCATTAGACATCACTTGTTTATAACTAACGTGCTGGGTCCATCTGCTTTCTTCCTAAGGCCAACTGCAAGCAAATGCTTATTGTGAAAATCCAGATATAGTATTAATTGGCAACAAGGCAGACCTGCCAGACCAGAGGGAAGTCAATGAAAGGCAAGCCCGGGACCTGGCTGACAAATACGGGTGAGTCACTTACGTGGAGATGTCATCTAATCTTGCACACTGCTGCTTAGTAATGGAGCAGGGATATAAGGCTGATACTAGGAGGACGCCCCTTGAATCAATACTGGCACATGAATGAAAAAGATCTTTCAGGGGAATGTATGGGACCTTTCAAACCAATTACTTAATAGTAATAGCAGCTAACATTTGCTGGGTAATTATTATATGCTAACAACTGTCCCTAGACTTTAACTCATTTAACCCTTCATAACCATATGTAGGAGATCTGGAGTCATCCCATTTTAGATACAAAGAATTGAGGCATGGAAAGATTAAGTAACCAATGGACGGTCCGGTAGCTGCTAAGTAGCAGAGTTTGAATTCGACTCAGGCAGTCTGAGATCAGAGCTCATGATCTTCAACACTATATTCTACTGCCTTCCAACTAATAGTTGTAAAACTCTAAGAAATAATACCTAACATGGACATAATGTAATCCTCATTGAAGCTGAGCTTAAATGGCAGATTACAAAAATGTTAAATACCCCCCTGTGATTATAAATTGAGTTCCACCACAGACTTCAAATTTAAAACAGTTTCATCTTCTCTGCCAATTTTTTACTGAAGAATTAATTCTCCTTGAGGGCCTTGAAAATACGTCTTCTTGAAACTTTTGATTCCGAATAAATATAGACTTATTTATTTACATGTATATCCTATTCAGTGCTTGCTTAATTTCTAAGTCCTATTTCCAGATAATTGATTAAAAGGGAAATGATATTTTAATGGTAATATTTACCACTAGTTTAGGTATTTCTACCCTCTTAATTTTTTTTTTTTGAAACAGTGGTAATGCATTAGCTTCAAATTCCTGAGTACCTCCTGTATCCATTTCCTTGTCCATAAAATTGGTGATATCCGTAGGAAAAAGCAGCCCACCAGCTTTTACTCACTGAGAAAAAACAAGGATGCTTTCCAACTCAGCCGGCAAAATCTTGATTATTTCACAGTCTCTCAGCCAGCCATGCTTTTGCATGTGTGACTCATTTGTACATCTTGTTGTGTCTTTTCTGATTTCTTCCTCTCAAAAATATTTGTCATCTCTTCTATTCAAGCATACCATATTTTGAAACAAGTGCAGCAACTGGCCAGAATGTGGAGAAAGCCGTGGAAACCCTTCTGGACTTAATAATGAAGCGAATGGAACAGTGTGTAGAGAAGACACAAGTCCCTGACACCGTCAACGGTGGAAACTCGGGAAAGCTAGATGGGGAGAAACCAGCAGAGAAGAAATGTGGCTGCTAGTCCCTGCATAGGAACTGATCATCAAAAACCCCACCCAAATATTACTTCCCAAAACAGCGGCAAACCACAAAATTGTTGTTGAGTAGACCATGCATACTGGCATATCTTGCTTTTCTGCCTGAAAAATCTATTTTAAGAAACCAGAATAGTCAACAGTGTTCAAAGGATTGACCGGTTGTCTCTGAGGCCCCTCCAGACAAGATCAGAGATTTCCTAATGTGGTCTCACTATGATGGATGCTCAATTTGTGTGTGTGTGTGTGTGTGTGTGTGTGTGTGTGTGTGTGTGTTTTTATAAAGAAGATGAGTAGATAAGAAAGTATTCAAGATGATTATCTGTGAGTTTTAAATCACAACAAAAATTACCATGTCACATGGGGGAAAGGGATAGGCCAGTAAAGGGAAAATATAGAAAGACAATTTTTTTCTTAAAGATTGGATTTACTTCTCCTATAGAATTTGATTTGTCCTTTTAGTTTTGCATTGGGGGGACATATTTTGCTAAAAATGGGTACCCAATAAAGAAATCTAAATCGATCGTTAAGAATGACATGGCTATGTATACCCAATAAGCTGTCCTAGGATGGCTTAATTGCTGATAAGTTTATGAGAGTGTGAAAGTCAGACTTCTGCTAAAATATGGGAGATTGTATATTAATGTCCTTTTTATATTCTTAATAAATGACAAATAGACAAGGACAGGACTGTGAATGACAAAGTACAAAAGAAATGCCCTGGAAGAAAAATGAACGTATGATAACATGGCATTTGGACAAATGAAATTAAATGTGTCTGTTACAGATGTCTGGAAGAGTCATTTAGCCAAATTTCACCCAAGCCAATTAGAAGTTGACATTATCACTTGGGATTAAGAGAATCTCCAGAGGTTTCCCTTTCAAACAAAATTTTGGAAATCAGTTCATTGTTCAGTCTCACGTTTCATTTTTCTTAGCAAATGGTCATGAGGAGAAATTAAAGGTTGCCAAATTTCTTTATTTCTTTAGAAATGCAGTCAAGAAAAACTATTTAGCCTTACTTGGTTTCTTTAGATAAAATATGTCAGCAATATGAAAAGAAAAAGTGACTAATAGTTGTGTGTTTCTTTTTAATTTACAAAAACAATGGAAACTTGGAATCACTTTTCTACCCTCCACACCCACCCCTGGCTTTGAATCAATTGTAAAAATACAGGTGTATCACTTTGTAGAGCAACAACATCAGAATGATGGATGGTTTTATGCTCGCTCTGAATTTTCATGTCATTCATCACATAACAATTGATGATACCTCATGCCATAAAACAATATATTTAACATTTGTTTTCATTTCGCCTCAGGCAAAGTACCCACCTTTGAGGTATATTTGGGGGTAGGGAAAGAGTGGAGCTATATCTTATCTCTAAAAAGTTGGTTAATCATTTTATTTTTTCACATAAAACTGCCTTTTTTTAAAAAAAAATCATCACAAACATATTTTCCATTGTCCTATTCTTAGTATTGTGTCTAAACTGATATTACATTTTTTTTTATCTTTATGGTAAGTCTAAGGAACTCCTATTAAACGATTATTTAAATACTTGTCAGTTTTACCTATAACAAAGGCATCACGCTTCAAGTTTTCTCTTTTTATCATGAGTATATAATTTTGATAGGATGGTTCCTCTTCCTATAAAATTTGCTAATTAAATTTCATTTTGCCATACTCTATATATTTTTAAATTACAAACATTAGGAACCCTAAATCCAAGTCCCCCATTCTCCCCTTGAGCCTCTGTCTAAGGTCTACATCTGGTATTGACTCAGTTTTAGGAACACAGATCCAAAGGATTGTCTAAGATGTTCTTGCAAAATTCTCAGTGTTAATTGCTCAGTTCCTCTGACTTCTGCAGCATAAGGCCAGCTTCTAAGATCCATCCTGCTTGGGTGTTCCTTCCAATGGTGTTTTTCTCTACGATGCTCTTCATGACCTCAGTGCCTGAGCCATGGGGATAGGAAGCTATTAGCCAAGCTCAAAGATGTTTTAACTGAGAGTAAAGTGAGAAGAAGCAATATAATCATTGCTGTGGCAAAATTTGGCAAACTTCCTATGGTCATTTTATCAACTCTTCTTTGGATTCGAATTGTGATGTCCCCTGCATCTCCATAATAGGGAATGTTTAGCCTTTATAAAATCCTAAAGGTATTCTATTTTGGATTTGGTTTTTTGTTTTTGTTTTTGTTTTTGTTGTTTGTTTTTGGTTTCTATTCTTTTTCCAGTTATATGATTGACTTATTTTTGCCAAGATTCTGTCATTGTCAGTTATTTCACAAGAATTTCTTCAGAGTCTATTTTAAGATCATTATTTGATAGATGTAGCATGAAGCAGAGGGCGATGATGCCCATAATTATAGAACTATGCCTATAAAAATAACAATTATTGGGTAGCATTCTCAAGAGGAAGGAAATCTAAAGAAGACAAGGAAACTAAAATAGCATCCTACTTATAAATAAGTACTTGATCTAAAAAAATATTTTCTCTGACAAGTTTGACATCTGATCCCAAATTCTATGTGACCATTACTGGAAATTCCTTCACTTAATTATTTCAGAATTAATAATTATGTATAATCCGTTTTATAATTTCAAGTTGGTTTGAAATTTCTTGTTAGTATATAGATTGCTTTAAAGAATTGCATACCTCCTTTAACCCAAAACAGCATGTATTTTTAGCCCAGATGTATCCTGTTATTGTTATCTCCCAAATGCTTTGGTAAACCCCCATACTGTATTTTGGGGAAATATTTAAAATGTAGATGAAACTTCTTTCTGATATAGAAATCACTTCTGGAGTGCTTACACTAGTTTGATGTTTACATTGCTCTAACACAGTGCCTCGAATACCTCTGTGACCAAATTTGTCTCCAACCACATAGCTCACAGTTCCTATGATGTCATAAAAGAAGAGGGCCTCACAGAGACACTAATACAGTGAAAGATCCTGGTGTCTTCAGCAAAGCGTACAGGATGTTACTGGAATCTGGAGATGATTACCACCATCTCTTTCTCCTAAGCTTCTCACGGAAAGGGCATTGCTTGAGATTCAACTGTGAGTAGGTACAAGGTTACCTTCTAATACACAAAAAGAAAAATCCTTTGAAAACTGTGTCAAAAAATAGCTGAGAAAACATGTCGTCTTGGTATGATGGGTGTCACAAGTCATAAATTGGCAGAGAAAATGCGAAACGCTAGGAATTGAGCTTGTGGGTCTCTACATAAGTTTTAGAATTCTTGAAACCGCTCTAGTGATTTGCTATCATTTCCATATTATCAGCTATACACTGCAAAAAAATTCAAAACCAGCATTTTCTAAAGCAAAGTAAACATTTCATCTGTTGTTCTTAACCAGATGGGCCAGTCCGGTCCATGTATCAGCGGATGTCTTTGTTATGCTTCTAGCGTAAATTATTCTCTGCCAACCTGCACACATAAAATAAAATGAACTGGGTAAGAGTTTTAATCCGATCTTTCTTGTCTCCACTGTAAGAGGGAGAAGTTTGACCATAGGGAATTACATGATGACATTAAGAATAATTTAATAACAGCCAAAATATCCTATAAAGTGTTAATTGAATCCAGTGGAAATCAATGTTTGATGAAGCTCATCTACATACTCATCAGCCAGAAAGAGAAGCAATATGTGTAATAGTGAATAGCTAGGTATAGTAGGAACCTGGAACCTATGTCCATGACACAAAATTATTCACTGCTCTGTATCTCTGCTCACTTTTAAAAAGGTTACATATGCTTTCTTCAGTGTCTATTATACTAAAACACTGAAGGAAAATTCTCATCCATGGAGAATTTTGGGGTTATCATCTCCAACTCAAACTGTAAAGAGATAATATTGAAATTTCTGGTTTCCTAAGAGAATGAACTCTTTAAAAGAGAGCTCTGAGAGCTGGTGTGAGCCAAAGGGATGGAAAAGTTGTCTTTCACCCTGTACCACCAAGCTTTAAAACATTAAAAGAAGGCTGGTGCCTGTGAATATTTTAGGGAAAGCTTTGTTATCTTTAAAGATGCCAAGATGCTTGAGAAAGTTGTCAGAGAATTCACCAAACACTATATTTTCTTCTTGATCCTCGACCAATATGATATAAACTTGTTTCCGGGGAGAGCGCTGAGCTCTTAGACATGGAAAGCAGAAATAGAGTATTATCTGAGATGAATGTTGTCTCAATGCTTTATAAACCCATGACGATATTTGTCTCAAAGTAGAACTGATAAAATCATTGTTAGAAATCTAAGGAGTTTTATAAATTTGTTGCCTTAGAATTCTTAGGTGGAGACCCAAACATGATGACATTGTTGGGGAAAAGCTGTAAAGGGAGGTTAGAGTTAAATGTTGTCTGAATAGTGTTCTTAAATATTGCGGAACACACAGAAGGCCATACTTTGAGTTTGACTTTTAGGTAGAAAACAAAAGGAGAATTAGTAACAGGTAGAGTTTTTGTAACTAGATCCATGGCAAATATTTAACCATCATTTTTATCTACCAAGTAGTTTATGCCTTTAGAACCAAGCTTATAAAAACATTCAAACGCCAAATGTTTCATTAGTGGCATCAAAATGTGGGAACTTTGAAACATTTTGTTTGCTCTATCCAAACTTAATTTTCTCATAAATTGCATTTTGATTAATTTTTCAAGGAATAGAATCAAAAAGATGCTTCTCTGCAGATCTCCTTTTACCAACAGTGTATGGTTGAGATATTTTCTAGCTTCATATATAGATAGAACAAAAAACAAGCAAAAAACATTAGTAACAAAATAGTGGGGTTATTTAAAAGGGTGTCAGCTCTTGAAGAAAAAAACTTACAAAGAAATCATCTTTGTAATCTCAAACAAGTTTGAGTCGATCAAACTTGTTTAATGGCTCCTTTTCTTTCCAACAGGTCACGGAAATCATGGCTAATATCCCTCAACTAACTTAGTCTTTAAGAATCATTAGCAAATTTTGTAGAAGTGGGCATGTCTGTCCTTAACCTAATGGATCCCTTATTTAACCAAAGGCTCTTGTCCTTATATCTG